ATGCTTTTTCTATGTCTAGAAGAGCAACTCCAGTTGAGTGGCCTTCAGATTTGTTTGAACGAATTAAATTGGTAACTCTTAATAGTTGATGACTAGTTGAATGCCCATGGCGAAATCCAAACTGCTCATCTGCAAAAATTGAGTTCGTATTGATGCAAAGCATGATTCTATTTAAAATTATCTTTTCAAAAAGTTTACTTATAGAAGAAAGCGAACTTATTGGACGGTAGCTAGAAGCTTCAGCTGGATTTTTATCCGGCTTCAAAATTGGAACAACTGCATTTTTCCATTTATCAGGAAAGTATGCCAAATGGAAACATCTGTTAAATAATTTTACCACGAAAGACAACGTACTCTCTGTGAGTATTTTGATGAGGATATAGAAATTTCCATCATCACCTGGAGCTTTCTATTATGAAACTATTTAATTATAGACCTTACTTCGTCCAAATCAGTCCCCCGGGAATCATCAAAAATATCATCAGATTATCCCGAGCAACCTGATTCTCAATAGGACTAGTAAGACCCAAACTGAAACTATGGGAACTCTCGAATTGCTTAGCAAGTTTCTGAGCTTTTTCCAAATTTGTGATCAAAATTTTACCACCTTCTTTAAGCGCTGGAATAGGGTTTTGAGGTATTATCAAATTTTTTTGTGAGTTTCAAAAAGGGTTTGGAAGTCGGGTCTAATTTAGAAACATTATTTTCAAAAGTTTTGTTCCTCATGGCAGAGAATCGCTTTCTAATTTGTTTTTGCAAATCCCGCCAGATAACTTTCATGGCAGGATCGCATGTTCTTTGATATTGTCTCCTACGGACATTTTTAAGACGGATCAAGAGCTGAAGATCGTCGTCTATTATAATTGAATCGAATTTTGGTCTGAGGTAGCTCTTGCTTCAGCTATAGAAGTAGTCAGTTATATTCCATAAATGTTCGAAATTGCTCCCAATCAGCTCTATGGTAATTGAAAGTAGAGCTGCTGGAATTAGAAATTATTTCTTGGTATATTTCGAAAGTTACTGGAAGGTTATCAGAACCGAAGTCAACATGTGTAACCAATTGGCTACAAAGTTGACATGAATTAGTTAAGACCAAATCAATAGTTGAGGAATTTCTTGCTGAAGAACAGCATGTTGGCCTGTTTGGATATTGAATAGTGTAATAACCTGCAGAACAATCATCAAACAGAATATTACCATTAGAATTGCTTTGAGCATTATTCCATGAGCGGTGTTTTGCATTAAAATCACCAATAATGAAGAATTTAGACCTATGACGGGTAAGTTTCTGAAGGTCACCCTGGAGAAAATTCTTCTGCTGGCCTACGCATTGGAATGGCAAATAGGCAGCTATAAACGTAAGTTGTCCAAATTTTGTTTCAAAGAAACTCCCAAAGTTTCAAAAACTTTGGTTTCAAATGAAGAAAGAATTTTATGTTTGATTTGTCTATGAACAATGATGGCAACCCCACCACAGGGTCCATCAAGACGATCATTTCTTTAAATGAAATAATTTGCGTCCTTCTTAACCTTATGGTCAGGTTTAAGGAACGTTTCAGTTATAACGGCAATATGCACGTTATGATCTCTCAAAAAGTTAAATAGCTCGTCTTCATTATCTTTAAGAGATCGAGCGTTCCAATTTAAAATATTTAATGATTTAAAATACATTACTGAATTTCAAAGTCATGACAATATTGTTTGCAAATTTTACTCCAGTTTGAATAGCATCAAACATGGAGTTAGATTTAAGCATATCAGTAATCATGTCAATTAATGATTTCTGTAAAAATTCCATTTTAGGGGCAGTAATGCTTCCTTAGTCAAAATGTCCATTAGAATTACGTTGGTTAGTATTTTGAATTCTACCCGCTGCAATAGCAGCATAGGTAGCTCCATTAACTCGCTGAACATTGTTAGCAGCGAGAGGAGTAGGTACAGATGAAAAATTTGAAGCAGGGGTGATATGTGGACCTACGTGTACGAATGTAGAATTTGTTCCTCGCTGACCGTTGTTAACAGCAGAGGAATTTGTACATGGTCGGAAACGTGGAGCGTTTCCTATCTGTCGCTTAGAACGAGATTAAAGGATCGCTTTGCGAGTCTTACATTCCCATTGGATTTGTGGTTTTCACCACAATTTGAACATTTCTTAGGATCTTTCTTCACAGGACAGTCGTTCTTTGCGTGAGAGGAATCACCACAATTCATGCATTTAGCTGGAATGTAGCAATTTTTAGTTCCGTGACCCCATCCCTGGCACTTACGGCACTGGGTGAGGTTTTGAAATGTCCACCAGCATAAGGCTAGCTTTTTCTAAAGCCTTAAGGTTGTTTAGTTCACTAGACTTGAAGTAAACTAAATAAAAATCATTAAAAATCCCGTTGCGCGAATCGCCAGGACGGGATTTCATTTTCATTTTGACTACTTGGAGTGGCACAACTCCAAGTAATTTTGCCAGTTCATCTTTGATCTGATCCAGGGATTCACCACTGGGTAGTCCTTTCATGACAACCTTAAACACACGTTCAGTTTTGGTGTCGTATTTAAAAAATTTGTGCTGCTTCTCAGTAAGATACTTGAGAAGACATTTAAATCCGTCCAAGGTTTCATCCAATACACGGCATTCACCCCGACGTCCAATTTGCAGTGAAAACTTAACTTTCACGAAGATCAAAAGTTCCATGCGAAGAGCATGGAAATCGGAAGTTGTTATCACCATAGGGGGAATCTTTTCCTTTTTGGCATTAAGCCGGGAAAGTTTACTAGAATTTTTCCTGGATGATGGATCATTCTCATCATCCGTGAGCAAATCAAATTGATTGCTCAAATTAATTTCATCAGAAGGGGGATCAAGAGTTTGCCCCTTTCTTTTGCGTTTAGGCGCCGTGGTGGCAGTATATTTTTATCCAAATCGACTTCCAAGCAGATTACTATAAGAATCTGAAGGATCGAAGAGGAATTTTCCAAATCGATATCCAAGAAGGATTACCTCGGGTAGGGCCCAAACAAGGATCGAAGAGGAATAAGAGTTGAACAAGGTAGAAATTTTACAGGTTGAGCACTGAAAAGTGCTGTTTAAATTTGTTGTAGCTTTAGGTAGTCGTAACGCTTCCTTCAGCAAAAAGCAAATAGATCCGCACGGCGAGAGAGCACGATGCGGACTGATAACCTTTTTTGCTGTTTTATTTATGTTTATCTATATCTGGAATTTTTCTGAGAATGGCTGGAAAATCAAGAAATATCAGGGATTCTGTTTTCCTTCAGTGATTCGACACTCTGGTAAAGTCTATAGAATACATGAGTTCCCATTTTTGACGCAAAAGCGCGATTGTTAGCCGAAATTCGCGTCTCCGAAAGAAAAGCGAACTATATTGTATAACAGTAAGGCTGGTAAATCACATTTTCGTGGTGCGTTATTGATATGAGATCTACCACCGAACCCTGGTTCTGAAACAGTGTTAAGGCCACTTCTACAGGCTTTCCCGATGCGGATGCGTAGTATATTTTTCTTCGCGTTCCAAACATTTCTGGCCAATTAATATGTTCAAGAACTTGTATACAATATAGTATCCAAGATTTTCGTGATGTTTAATCATCATGCGAAGTCCTATACTGAGTGTTTTTTTTTGTGTTTCCAGACAGAGTTTGTTTTCAACTTTCTGCTGATATTTGGAAATTTTTAGGATCTCCATGGACGTAGACAATTTTTCACATGTACAAGCAGTAAACAACCGAGCGATAGCATCTTTATTTAGCATGGAAACAACTGCTCATCAATTCCCTTGATTATCACATCAAAAAATTTGTAGAGACGTGTGAATTATGACATGCAGCGAGTAAAATTCCAGTGGTGAAATTGACCGACATGTGGTTGAAAATTGTAACCAATTAACAAATACTCTTAATATATGTATATATATATATATATATATATATATATATTTGAACCATCGAATCCGCAAAGCAATTTTCAATCATGAAGGCTACCTCCGGTGGATATAATGCCACCTTCTTTCAAAAGCAAGTTACCGTTTGATTGAGGGTTCCAATCCAAACCTTTTCAAGTTCTCAATTACCGCAGCTCGGTAATGCTGAGTTGACAAATACCAACCTTGAGATCCCACGAAACAGAACCGTGCGTCTGGCGAGGCAACAACAAGAGCCATTCATAATTCCTACTTGACGCTACCCAACTGCGATCTGTTCGCAGCATGTGAAGAAAAGTTCATGTCACAACATCATCGTCGCGTTCCGTGCCAAACAAAACCTACATGGCTGCATGTTTATGTTGGATTGGCTCAGCCCTCAGATTATGACTCATGCAAGCATGCATGCGCTTTTGCTGCCGCCGCCGCCACCACCAGAAGGAAGTTTAGCAGTTCCCATCAACAAACACGACCGCGACCGGCACACGAATCTATTTAAGTAGGTCTACAAAACGAGAAAACAAGTTTTTGTCATGGTGGGCTTAGATCTACTGGTGCGACCAATTCCCACTTTCTGCGGTGGTCACTTCAATCTGGCAAAACACTTTTTCCGCTTTCGGGGCTTTTCTTCCGCAGTCACACGATTCACCGGAGATGTTTGAAATCGTGGAATCAATCTTCAATTCGAAAGTGATAGAAAAGGTCTTCAGGGACGGACGACAGCTCAATTATGCGGAGCCATTTTAGTGCATGGTTAGTTAAGAAATCGAAAGGAAATTGGTTGCATTTTTATTGGAAGCGATGGGCGTGAACTGGACTGACTTAGCACGCAAATTTCTATCGTTGAAACGCTTCATTTATGAAATATTAGACCTAGGTGATCCTATTGAAAATAATGCAAACGAACCTCGAAACAATAAGTTCATTAATCCGATCTATAAATCGAAAGTGGGTCAAACTGCGAACGAGAAAGATTATTAATGATTTCCTGCGTCTCGGTCCCGTCCAAAAGACAATACCGAACCAGTCCGACAGCAGGGTCATATCTCAACTTATGCACATTGTTTTCAGGTGGAGAAATACTATCACAGCGCTACGCGGGTCATGCACTGCTGGTGTCAGTGCTGCCGGACTCGGTTTCAATAGTGCTATCGGCGCCAAGTACTCAGCCCATCGAGGCACGCGTTCCGGGTCGATACCTGGACAACCGATGGCACACGCTGCAGTTCGTGTACCAGTTGGGAACGTTGTACTGCATCATCGACAAGCAGTCCTCGACGATCGCCAACCAAACCTACAATACTCAGCTGATCCTGGATCAGGAGATCAAGAACGAGGCAGCGGTCCTGATATTGGGCAAGCAGTACTCGGGATGCTTACTGCACGGACCCGGGCTGGTGTTCAATGCAAGCGCAATGAATGCCGAAGCGGTCGTGTTTGGCCCGTGTCCCTTGGCACCGGGTCCATGTACCGATCATGACGTTCTGACTGGAGTTCCACCGGACTATTGTTCCCATGATCCTTGCATGCAACATGGGACGTGCATTTCCAGGTCCGATGGATACGAGTGCCACTGCACTGCTAGGTTTAAGGGCAAGAACTGCGAGGTCGATACCGGACCTCCATGCCAGGCACATCCCTGCCAACATGGTGCTACCTGTACGGAGGATACCAAAGGAGACTACAAATGCACGTGTTCCCCTGGTTATACCGGATCGTATTGTGAGACGGAACTGAGCGTTCATCCGCTGTGTGAGAAGAACCCATGTATCAACAATGGAACCTGTCGAGTTCCACAAAATACAAATTCCTACGAGTGCGAGTGCTTGAAGGGATTCATTGGAACAAGATGCGAAATCAACTGGGACGACTGCAAACCCAATCTATGCCTAAACGGCGGACGATGCGTGGACGGAGTTGATGCTTTCACATGTGACTGCAAGGGTACGGGATACGGAGGCACTTTGTGCCAGAACAACATTGACGAATGCCTGGTAAGCCCTTGTTTGAACGGGGGAACCTGTTTCGATACGTACGGATCATATCTGTGCGAATGCCCTACGGGATTCACCGGTGCCAACTGCCAGCTAAGCATCAACGAGTGCAAATCCCAACCCTGTCAGCATGGTGGAACCTGTATTGGCACTCAGGAAGGCTTCGACTGTCGCTGTCCACCGGGCTATTCCGGGCTGTACTGTGAACTTGAATCTGGCTGTGGCCAGTGTCCCATCGATTCCGACTGCATCGCTGGACGGTGCGTCTGCAAACCAGGTACTACGGGTAAGTCCTTCCTATCAACGCTTTATCCTAACCAAAGTAATCGCCCTGCTTAGCTGGAACCCTTCTTCACCATTCAGACAATCCCCTCCATCTAACCATCAATTTTGGCCAATCCATTTCACGACCCATATACACGTATAACCCCCGCTAACCGCACGCCGTCATCCCGCAGTAGATTTGAACTCTATCTTGCACAAAATTCAAAATTGTACCCCTCACCATCTTCAAAAATTCGATTCGATTCTTTCGTAGGCTTGGTTGGCCACTGCGTAGAGCAGCACGCCGCCGGCACTAGCTCCATACAAAATCCGCTCGTAGCGAACGCCCAAAAAACGGCCCAACAGCCACCCACTGCATGTTCAGACTATTGCTACAACGGCGCCAGCTGCGTGCTTGCCAGCACCGGCCCGTCGTCGATCGCTAGTGCCAACAGCAGAAATTTCACTTGCATTTGCGCTACCGGATTCACAGGTTGGAATTAACTTGTCACAAAGTTTATCAAAACAATTAAACCTATCAGCATTCAGTCACTGCCTGATCGAGACTCAACTAACACTACCATCTCTTCCACAGGTTCCCGCTGTGAATCTCCCATCGCGTTACCGTACTCGGACGAGTGTCAGTGCCTCAACGGAGGTAGCTGCACCCCGAACAGCTCAACCTGCATCTGTCCGCAAGGCTTCGACGGACCACGCTGCGAACTGACGGCAGTGTGCAGTCCTTCCAACTGTCAGGAACCGTTCCGCTGTATCGGCGGGAAGTGTCAATGCCCTGACAATATGAACTGCGAAAATGTGTGTGCGTCGAGTCCGTGCCTTCACAATGGCTCCTGTTACCCGCAGGGACAGGACTACATCTGCAAGTGTCCGCCCGGGTACGAGGGCAAACGGTGCGAAAATGACGTCGATGAGTGCAAAACCAAGGATAAGATCTGTGTCAACGGAATTTGTCAGAATACGCCCGGTTCGTTTAGGTGCTTCTGTACGCCGGGCTATACCGGGTTGAACTGTGATCTGGATGTGGACGAGTGCCTCAGCCATCCGTGCAAGAACAATGCTCAGTGTGTGAATAAGGAAAACGATTTCGAGTGCATCTGTCCGCCGGGGTACAGTGGCAAGGATTGCAGCACGGATATCGACGAGTGCGAGAGTAACCCCTGTACGAAGGGATCGACGTGCATCGATCGGGTGGCGAATTTTACCTGCATGTGTATTCCGGGAATGACGGGACGGCTGTGCGAGATCGATATCGATGATTGTGAGGTAAGTTGGTTTGTTTTATGATTGGTTGTAGCGAAATATTGTCTGTAATTTTAAGTATTTATTAGTATGTTTTACATTTAAAAAAGCTTATACGATAATGCACCGAATACCGAACGGGTCGTTAATCCAGATTTTTACATTATTTATTTAGGTGATTCCCAGGCTTGGGTAGTGAACTGAAATTGATGTCTTCTATTCATGTCTCCGATGTTTATTCAACTGATAAATGTTCAAGAACTAACTTGACGAATAAATTAGAACTATTTACAAGAACCGTGCCTCAAAAAAACCGTGGTGATTTTTCAAGACACAGTTTAGGTTAAAAATGTTCTAATTTCTTCGTCACGCTGGTTCTTGCACATTTAGCAGTCGAATAAAAATCTGATTCATGGTAAAATCAGTGAGTCGCGGTAAAAACTAGCAGGTGCAGCCTCGGTTTACGATCCAAGTCTGCACGGGAACAAATCCAATCTCCGAAATGAGAAAAATTACTCATGATTTCATGAACATTATGAAAATACACCATGAATAATATTCATTATATCATGGGTTATTTTTGTGTAACGCAGTTAAGATTCCCGAAATTATTAATCATCCGTGTCATGAACTAAATTCATGAAATTAAAAGTTAGCTTTTAAACCACCACAGGTAAAAAAAGATAAAATAAAGCATCAGATCAGACTGGATTCGAACCGAGGAACTTCGTGATCATTAAGCCTTTACTTTGACCACTAGAATATCAGTACTTGTGTAAGATGGAAGGCAAAAGGTATAAGCCTATAAGAGATACTTGTTTGCCAGGTACGTGTAACGCTTGTAGTGGTCATAATTCCGTTGCATTATAAAATCATGAACTTACATCACGAAATTCATTATGATTCATTGTTATAATTTCGTGGGATGGCAAGTTTTTTTTTTCATTTCATGATTTTTTATTCATGAAAATGGAATCGGATTTGTTCCCGTGTGGTAATTCCAAGAAGAGTCCAAATATGGCCGTCATGATGGCGGATATGCCCTATCACATCAAGTTTTCTAGACCACAAATATCGGACCCTGCTGCGATATTGCTCTTGAAACTTTCCTCTTTGTTTCACTGCAGCAAACGTGGACTTCTAGCTTCAATGTTGTCTGTTTTGTGAGAGGTGACATTCGTGCTCTTGAAATTTCGAAGTGATACTAATATCAATCAGAAATAAAGTTTCCCCAGCAATTCACCTTAAATATTAGCGAATACTACAAATCAAGAAGACTGGCAACTGTTCCCTTCTTCCATACAAATGTCAAACGTCACTGATAACAGTGCCTCTGTCAATCAAAGGTGGAACTTTGAAGCACAAGTGTTAGTGAGACTATTCATAAACAGTGACTGTGTGTGTACCTAATGTCACCAAAACCAATAATCATAACACGGTACTCGGTGTTGTTTTTGTTTTGCTCTATAAAATTTCACGACAATTTGTATCCTAATCCCAGCAAGCCGGTGGTTGTTTTTCAACTTCAAACCGAAAAAAACTTGTCATCGTGGATCAAGTAGATGATTGAAACCCGGATCGATACCTAGTGAAAGTAACTTTTGCTTGTGAACGAGGAACCGAAATATTGTTTATTTTGCCATTTGGAAGCAATCAATTATAAGGAATTGGCAGCTTCCACCACCATTGAGTGAAGTAACGTTATTCGAAAGCTGCTGAAAATTCAAGGATTCAAAAAGAAGTTTGTTTACCTTCTTAACAATCCAACGGAAGGTGTAGCAGGATCTAATGTTGGAGAAAATGAAAATGAAAGGTTGAAGGACTACAATCCCAAACGGTACGTATTGATAAAGAATATATTGCCATATTAGATGTTGTCAGAACATGAAACCACCGGATAGGGATCCTCTGTATGCCCTAACAATTCTTGGAATCGACCGACTCCTTCCAGAGAATGATAACAACAGTGTCGGATTGGCCAGTGACATTCAAATAGTCAGTGAGTACTGTGCTAAGTTGCCGAGCGTCATAACTTAACTCCCCCCGCTGTGGCCAGGTGCAAAAGTCGTGCGGAAAAGGGAATGCATTTTACTAATGCACCATACGAATGCCCATAAATGTATAACTAAAGGGCTTAGAAAAAGTGGAAGATAATTCTGATATAGCAAATTAATGATCGAGAAAGGTCCCACTATTATTATGAATGGCATCATTGCCATAGTTTTAATTTTCATAACAAATTTACTCACGCATCTGTTCAGTTTTAGCTGGAATTTTACTCGTTGTTAGCATAAAGCAAAGAAAGAAACGTTTCACTTTTTACGACAATCATAACAAAACCAATAATTGACAGCTACTGATTTCTACCTATGTATGTGAATGCACTAGTGAATTAACACACACCATCATACACAGGTTCCACTTTTGCTCAGAAGAGGCGTTGCCATTACTGTCTCCTGATTTTTGCAAAAGTTGCCAGTCTTCTTGATTTGTAGTCTTCGATATTAGTCTACTTTACAGCATAATTAGTGATACTCAAAGTCCATGATAAAAATTTCATGCTGTTTTGGGCTTGGTTGGTATTGGTAATCATCTTTTAACAGTGTTCGAATTTGTGGACTAAGTGTGTCAGTGCTTTACTGCCACTAACCGCATAACAGTCCCATGTCCAATTAACATGGGAATGATATGCGAATAGTAGCAGCTTACGATACAGTTGATATTCAGGTCTATATAGTAAGGTATGGTAAAAGTTCAAATTGAAAAAAAGTAGAAGGGTCTGTGCCTAGGGGCACGAACGGAGACTTGACGTAGGACCGCTAGTGCACGGAACAAATGTGAAGAGCATTTAGTTCTTTTAATTGATCAATCATCGTAGCGTATCAAATTTGAAGTATTTTTTTTTTTTTCAAAGAGAAAGTTGATGAAGAGAATCAATCCAAATCACTTGCACCCCTGCTTCGAAGTTTGATTACAAGATTCAATCTGGAGAGCATTTTGTGTGGTCGTTGGGGGTCCTGTGGTTCTGAATATGGATAAACATGCACAGATAAATTTTATTCCAACTCTTTACTGTTATAAGCTTGTTGACCCTGAAAAGGGCCGTTTTATTGTAGACGACATCCATGGGCGCATACGCTTGGCGTGTTCAGAGTAGGTGACAGCATCACGGATCACATTTTCCAGGAACCCCTTGTGTTTTCTCGAAGATCAGACCGGAGATACGCTTGACACCACCACGGCGAGCCAGACGACGGATGGTGGTCTCGAAGAACTTTGCAATGAGGTTTGGTGCCTCTTTAACCAAGATCTTTTCCTCCTTTGCCACGACCAGCCTGCCAATTGTTACTTGTTGGATTAAGAAGAGTTGACTAGCCACCGTCATCCTACTGCTGCTATTGCTGACCACCACGCCATCCAAAGCGAAAATGAGTTGATACTAGACTACAGGTTAAAGCAGAATGATGTGCAACCAAGTGGTATAAAAGCTACAAAGACTCCTCCCATCATGAGTAGTTTGCTATCAAGTAGCGACACTGGCTCCTTTCCTTTTGCGTAGTTTGCCAATGGCAACACCTTGAAAGTTAGCGGCGCCGGTGGTGTAGTGGTAAGCGTGATTACCTCTCACCCCAGCAGGCCTGGGTTCAATCTCAGTCGGCGCCACCGGCATGTTCTAAGGCATAACATCTCTGATTACGCCTTCCTTGGGGAAGTAAAGCCGTTGGTCCCCGGTTGAGTTGATGGGTCGATAGGTAGGGTCCATGTGTGGCAGCTGCCTCCCTGGCGTCGGTAGCATTGGTGTTCAGCACTAAAAACAAATCTCGCGTCACTTTTCAATATGTTCTATCTACATTGATCGATTATCTTTCGTAAATAAGTCGGCTTCAAAAATGGCCGTCTTTGTCGAATTAGATGCTAGATTGTTGCTTCTTCCATCGAAAATATCCAGCCGTGGCGATTCAAAAGAAAATTTGATGAAGAGAATCGATCAAAGTCATTTGTCCAAGTAAGGTTACATGAGAATTTTGTGTGGTTCTGAATATGAACAAACAGGCAGATGAATTATATTCCTACTCTTTACTGTAATAAGCATGGTGGCCCTGATAAGGGCCGTTTTGTTGCCAAAGTTGGTGATGATTTAACTTCCGAAACCGTACAGAGTGCGTCTCTATCGCTTCAAAACGTAGACGACATCCATGGCCGCTAACGCTTGGCGTGTTTAGTATAGGTGATAGCATCACGGATCTCATTTTCCAGGAAAACCTTCAGCACACATCGTAGATCAGACTGAAGATACGTTTGAAACTGCCACGGCGAGCCAGACGACGGATGGTGGTTATCTCGGAGAACTTTGCGATGACGCTTGCTTGGCACCTTTTCCTCCTTTGCCACGACCAGTCAATTGTTGCTTGTTGAGTGTGGATAGTGGACTAGCCACCACCTTCCTACTGCTGCTATTACTGACCACTACGCCGTCCGAAGCGAAAATGAGCTGTTGCCATACAGCAGCGCTGTTATATATCTTTTCAGGTTAAAGCAGAATGATTTGCAACCAAGTGGTACTCGATTATGAGGACTGGGTTTGGGAAGAACGTTTAACAGTGATTAAATTATCACTTTTTATTTGTACATTGGACAAGGCTTGGCATTACCACTTTTTCAATAGCTTCTCGTTAAAAATCGGAAGCATTATTATAGATGCGTAGAAATATTTCTGATTGATTCGTGGTAAAATTATTGAAATTGGTCCAGGAGCAGCTGAGTTATTAATGTTCATAATCTTTCATATTTTGTTTCATGTTTCATTTTAAGTTTTCACAACGTGTACCCTTAGTAAAGAAATAAAAGACGTAGTCCTACGTCAAAAATAAAATTTCTCAAAACTCCAAGCATTGGAATCAAACTAATTCCATACACAGGATCCCTCATTCAAGGGTTACATGTGTCTCTACAGAACTTTTATGAGTTTTCAGCCCATTCGTAGCTAAAATGATTATTTTTTTTTTCGGAAGAGTGTTCGCAAACTTAATGGACGTTTTGAGAAGTTTAGCCACAAAAAATCTTTACTTTGCCCCATGATGGTGTGACATAAAGAAACCACTCAGTTGAAGTTTTTGGATTTTTCAGGACTTCATCACCGACTTCAAATTTATAACTCATAAACCAAGTATTGAAGAAAATATGTTTTAAAGTAAAATTATGAGAAAATTATCTCAGAAAGCCATATAAAATATAATCTGAAAAACGTTTCCTGCGAAAATGTTCAAGATGGAGGAAAATCACAAAGAAAAGTGATGTCTCTTACCGTCAATTTGAGTGGGGATCTCTCTGTTTATACTCTTTGGTATGACGCACTTGACATAGATGGCCCACATCGACTCACGAAGAGCTACTGATTCCGATCAATAGCGGTGCGGCTTCCTCCTCCTTCTATAGATGCACATATGGGCTGCAGCTTGCTGCTTGCAGACAGCCTTTCGTTGTGTACTGGAGAAAACCACAACGCGGTGATTGAATAAACACTATCTGAAGAGACCGCATGGAATTCAACTTTGAAATCTGTGTTAACGAAATCGCTTTTCGGAGGCAATCGGTGATAATTTTAATTTTCATAGCTACAGTTACACATTCGTGCAATTTTCAATAGTGACTTTTAAAAAAATGATAATTGGCGTGTTAAGAATTAAAATCCATCATCTCTGGCTCAAAATAAAACCACTTTCATGCCGCGACCGACTTTGGTTTTTGAAATTGCACCCCCAATGTTGCCTTCAAGAACATGGTATGTTAGATTGAAACATATCTAGATAGAGCTGTAATTAAGCGTAACAGCTTTTGTAAGCAATGACTTCTCTCGATTATTTTTAGGAATACAAGGCACGCCCAGCCAAACCGAAATTACCGTTGGGTAGGGGAAGTCTTACCCTACCTGATGGTGATGTTGATTTGCGTGGGTGAGCTTTGACTTTCAAGACATCATCGAAAGAAGTAATTGTTTACAAAAGCTGTTATGCATTAATTCCAGCTCTATCTTGATATGGGAACTGACATCCGATTAATGACCTTGACAAATGTCCAACAAATACTCTTTTACACATTTATGGTAGTTTTGAAAAGGCCCGTTTTGTCGTTATGGTTGAGTAATGTTGAGCTATTAGGGTGATTAACACATATGAGGCTGGTGAGCTGTATGTTGTTTGGAATGAGGGTAACGCGCTTGGCATAGATGGCCCACAGCGACTCACGAAGAGCTACTGATTCCGATCAGTAGCGGTGCGACTTCTTCCTCCTTCTATGGATGCACATGTGGGCTGCAGCTCACTGCTTGCAGGCAGCCTTTCGTTGTGTACTGGAGAACAAGGTTCAACGCCACACGCCAAAAGCACTGCTGCTGATGCCGACGACCGGACACCACCACACACGGTGATTGGAACTGAATCCGATCAGCGGTTAAGGCCAGCCTTGATAGCTAGCTGCATGCGGGGAGCTTTTCGTTGTGTACTGGAGAACAGCACCACTCACCACGCGGTGATTGAATAAACACCGAAAAGGGAAATCGCTTTTCGCAGGCAATCGGTGATAATTTTAATTATCATAGTAACAATTGCAAATTCGTGCAATTTTCAATAGTGACGTTTTGAAAAATGACAAAGTATTTAATTTAACAAATTTGTAGTAAAATTGTTGATCCATTGGTGATAAAATTATTGAAATTGGTCCAGGGGCAGCTGAGTTATAAACGTTTAAAATCTTTCATAATTTTGTTACTTGTTCCAATTTCGGTTTTCACAAAGTGTACCCCCATATAGAAATCACAGTCGTAGTTAAAAAAGTTAATTGTTGACAAGATTTTTTTTAAATAGGGGAAATGGATGTAATGTCGGCCTAACTGCCCCACATTTGGGCCCATACATAAATTCAACAATCAACGAAATTTTCAATAGGGACCAAAAATATCCAATTGGTACAGTCACAATGATGCGTTCATCTAGATAAAATTGATAAATAGCACATTTTTAGCGATGGGTCCAATCTTAGATGCATAGGCCAACATTAGAGCCATTTCTCCTACGTTGGGAAATTATTCAGATGAAAAAAGATCAAACTTTGACGACCACCCCAAATAATGTCGGATTAAGCTACAATTTAGCATAAAGTCTTTTTTCGAGGTAATGACCTTTTTGTATATGGTCGATCTTACTTTTTTTTTCATTCGTACCCTAAGTCATGGCCGATAAGTGTTACTCAGAATTGAGAGCGATATTTTCATGTTTATGAGAAAGTTTGAACATACTATGTGGAAAGTCTATTCTTTCGGGATACCTTAAAGGTCTTGAAAAGCAGTTATCAAGTTTTGGGTTTTCGCTCAATACTCCTATGTGACTAGAGACCTAAAAGAGAAGTACTAAATTTGGATTTTCTCTATACCCCACAGCCCCTGCCCTGCAAGAACGGAGGCCGCTGCATCGACCAGCTGGGAGGCTACCTGTGCGACTGCAACCAAACCGGCTACTCAGGGTCCAACTGCCAGCACAACATCAACGAGTGCGACTCGAACCCGTGCTCCAACGGAGCCGAGTGTATGGACAAAATAAACGACTACCAGTGTAAGTGCTACGCCGGCTATACGGGCAAAAACTGCGAGGAGGACATCGACGAGTGTGAGTCCAACCCGTGCCAATACTCGGGAAAATGCCTGCAGAGATCGAACGTCACGCTGTACTACCTGAACAACTACACCAAGAATTTGCCGGCCATCTTTTCGCAGCAGTTTTCGTTTGAAAACGCAAGCGGTTACGAGTGTATCTGTGTTCCCGGAACGATGGGGAAGAACTGTGAGATCAACATCAACGAGTGCGACAGCAGTCCGTGTAAGAATGGAAACTGCGTCGACGGTATTGGAAACTACACGTGCGAGTGTGAACCGGGCTTTGAAGGAGCGCACTGTGAAACGGACATTGATGAGTGCTTGAAGTACAAACCGTGCATTCACGGAACGTGTATGGATGGACGCAATAACTACAACTGTGATTGTGACGAGCTGTGGGGAGGGAAGAATTGCTCAGTTAGACTGACGGGTTGCGTTAACGAACCGTGTTTGAATGGTGGAGGTTGTATACCTTACTTGGAGAACGAGACGCAGCACAAGTTCAACTGTTCGTGCAAACAAGGGTTCCAGGGAATGACCTGCGATACGGTGACTACCATGTCTCTGGCTGCTAATAGCTTGTTGACCGTTAATACATCCCGCGATGAAGGATATGATATACAGCTTAGGTTTAAGACTACGTTACCAAACGGAATTCTAGCTTTCGGGAATGGAGCTACCTCGTACATTCTAGTACTGAATAATGGTCGACTGAACTTGCACTCCGCCTTGCTGAATCGTTGGGAAGGTGTGTTCATTGGATCCGGACTGAATGACAGCAAGTGGCAGAAGGTGTTTGTTGCGATCAATTCGTCTCACTTGGTTCTATCCGCTAACGAAGAGCAAACCATTTATCCAATCAATTCTTACGAAGGTACAAACGGTAGCAATACCTCTTTCCCGGTAACCTATCTAGGCGGTACAACACCAACGCTAGCTCAACCTTATTTGAAGCACATCGCCAGGGCAGTCTCAAGCTTCGTCGGTTGTATGGAAGATGTAGTGATCAACGGCCAATGGGTTCTTCCTGGTAAGGAGCAGGAATTCACCTCTCTGCATAACATCGTTACAGGATGTCCAAGAACTCCTCAGTGCGAGCCGAACCCCTGTAATTCGAACGGACATTGTACCGATCTATGGCACACGTTCGCCTGTAGCTGCCAGCGTCCTCATCTTGGCCATACCTGCAAGTACAACATCACGGCAGCAACATTCGGACACGAAAATACCACTCGATCAGCCGTTAAAGTGATTGTAAGTGATACCGCTCGGAGAGCTATTCGATCAGTGTTGGACATTTCAATGTTTATTCGAACACGACAAGCATCCGGAATGGTGTTCTACTTGGGCAGTGATCCGGATATGAACAGCACCCCGGGAGATGACTCCTACGTGGCTGCTTTCCTGTCCAAAGGAGAGCTGCTGGTGCGAATGATCTTCAACGATACCCCGGAAGGCTACACTGTCGGTGGTAACAAATTGGACAATGGCTACCTCCACTTGATCGAAGTCATTCGGAATTCTACCTTAGTGCAGGTCAAATTGAACGGCACCGAATACTTTAGAAAGACACTCTCTTCATCCGGGCAGCTAAATGCACAAGTTCTGTACCTGGGAGGACCACCACCGTACGCCGAATCGATTTACAGCTTGTACAAAGATGAATCGGAAAAGCAGTATTTTAAAGGTATTATTCAAGATGTTCAGGTGTCCAATGGATCGCACGCAATGATCGTGGAACTGTATCCATTGAACGAGGACGGTCTAGTGCTGCCACCTCCATTCGGAGAAGTTTTCATCGATCGATCCTCTGTTTTGGAGGGTATCGTGACGGATGACCTGTGCCGAACCCTACCCTGCAAGCACGACGCCATCTGTGCCAACACTTGGAACGATTTTGTGTAAGTAGCCCTCGTTCTTGAACGGATCCAACACCCCCATACTAACACCCTTTTAGTGGATAAGTCGATACTAACTCAAGGAAAAATTGTTTCAACTTTTTCATGCACGCTTGCACGCATTTTCCTTCCGATCCTCACGCATATCGTGCGTGCACTTCCCACTTTCGCTCAAAGCCGTTGCAAGTGGACCTACGTAAAGGATACTTTTAACGAGCTCAAGCAGTTGATGTGGACCAACCGGTCCGCCCTAGCTAGGTAACATCGAGTTGTCCCAATCGTAGTATAAACTTTATAAGGCTACAATCTTGAATGTTGAATGTCAAAACTCTCAGCTGACTATCGGGGAGGGTCATTCCAAGAACTGGAACTATTCATTTAGCCTACATGACCGTTGATAACAGCTAAAAAATGAGTAGAATTTCACTTATTTTCGAGGAAAAGCATTCAATCAAAGCTGAGCTTACATATAAAATATACCACCTCACTTTAGAGACTTAATAGTCATAGCCAACTTTTGACAGAAATTATTGAAATCCTACTCATTTTTAAGTTGCTTTCAACGGTCATGCAACGAAAGACTTTAATGTTAGTAAAACGACGAAACTTTATATAAAAAAAAACTACTCATCCCGAGCAGAAAAAATTACTTATTATTTAATACCAAATTCAGGTATGAAAATAGCGTAACTGGCAACCTAAATATGGTATTAGTGAGGCTGACATAAGAGGTAAAATACCAAAAATAATACCTCAAAGATGTTCTACGAATAACGAAGTAATAAATAATTTAGATATTACAATAACAAACGGATAACAGACGCTTGTTTAGATGCCAGAATACCATAGTTTGTTATTTTAAAGATCTTCTAATACCAATTCAATAACTCTTTTAGGTGTTAGTTTCTAAAAACTGAAAGATCACATTGTGTTCTTTTGGTATTCATTTGATACTTTAAAAAATATTTTGATAACTGAATAATAACAAAACAAGGTTTTATACCACAAGCATACCGAAATCTGGTATCATACCACATTAAGATTTCATTTGTTATCGATTAGCTATCGGTTCCTGCTCGGGATGGAGTGGCACTATTTTTCTTACTAACTGCAGCTAAGTTGATGACATTTGTGCCATAAATCATTTAACTTTGCAAGATGCCGCCAAAAACAAATCATTCATGATCATGACATCGTATTGCAACAAATTGGGCATGTGATGGTCCGGAACCAGTGATGCAAAATATCATAACACTCACGTGACACTCGTCTTCGCATCAACCGACTATTGCTGACAGATCGGTTTTGTCACGCAGTGAGAGTTAGAGCCATGGCAAACAACAATCACCAGTAATGGTCGCTGCTCAGAAGCAAAACGTTACACTCGCTGCTGATAATGAAAAGCACAACGAAAACAGTGAAGACTTCTGCAGTACGATCATGAGAAAAAGAGAAACGACAGAAGAAAATGAAAACGATGCCTACGCATTCCAAGTTCGATTTGGCAGGCGCGAGTGTGTGAGTTACAAACAAAGCAGGCAACATTAAACGGAAGCTGTTGGGCTCACTCACCGACACACTCACATAAGCAAGCAAAGCAGCAACTGCTTCAAAACGAGCACACAGATGAGTGTCGTGATTGTCAGGAATGACCAGATCGGTGATGGATCACAACAGAAGACGACATTCACCAGTTGCTTATTACTTCTTTCGTCAACTTGATGGATGGTCATGGAGAGAGCTTCGACGAGCACATTGATAGGAATGTACAAAGCGTTACTACCATCAGCTGTTTGATGATCGTGATTGTGATAGGTCGCAACTCTGTCCGGAACAGGTTGCGGAACCCTGTGGGATGTGGTCAATTATCATTGCTTGGACATATCATTGTTCTCAGAATTTTGTGGACAATCCAAAAAGGAGCATATCATCTTTTATGAACCACATCGGCGATATCGTGGCCACGGAACAGGTTCCGCAAGCCCAACGGAAACTGGCCAATTTTTCACTACAATAGAAATTTATCGTGCGACACATCATTGTTTTCAGAATGTGGTGGACAATCCGGAAGTGGCCAAATAATCTCTTCTGGATCTCATTGACCATCTGGTGGTCACGGAACAGGTTCCGGAAGCTCTGGGGGAAATGGCGAATTTTTTATCAGAAATCAAATTGGACCGTTTCCGGACGGCCTGGGAGAAGCGGCCAATTTTTCACTACAACAGAAACCGAGCGACATATCATTGTTCTCAGAATGTTGTGAGAAATTCAGAAGATGTCAAATAATCTCTTCTTGATCACATTGGCCATCATGTGGTCCCGGAACCGTTTCCGGAAACCCTGGGGGAATCGACCAATTGTGATTTACATCATAAATCTATCGAGCGACGTATCATTGTTCTCATAATTGTGAGAGCAATCCAGAAGAGGCCATATAATCTCTTCTGGGTGACATTGACAATCTGGTGGCCCCGGAACAGGTTCCGGAAGCCCTGAAGAATGTGATCAATTTTTCACTACAACATAAACCTATCGAGTGGCTTTTATAGTTGTTCTCAACATTTTGTGAGCATGCCAGAAGAGGCCATATAATCTCTTCTGGATAACATTGGCCATCTGGAGGCCCCGGAACAGGTTTCAGAGGCCCTGGGGGGAAGTGAACAATTTTTCACTACACCAGAATCCTATCCAGTGACATATTATTGTTCTCAGAATTTGGTGGACAATCAAGAAGAGGCCATATAATCTCTTCTGGATCACATTGGCCAGCTGGTGGCCCCGGAACAGGTTTAAGAAGCCCTGGGGGAAGTGACCAATTTTTTACTGTACCAGATTCCTATCCAGTGACATATCAGTGTTCTCAGAATTTTGTGATTAATCAGAAAAAGTCATATTATCTTTAATGGATAACATTGACAATCTGGTGGCCCCGGAACAGGTTCCCGAAGTCCTGGAAAATGTTGCAAATGTTTCACTACATTAGAAAGCTATCGAGCGACATATCATTGTTCGTAAAATTTTGTGAACAATCCAGAAGAAGCCATATTGCCTTTAATGGATAACATTGGCAATCTAATCGCCCCGGAACAGGTTCCGGTAGCACTGGAGAATGTGGCCAATTTTTCACTACAGCAGAAACCTATCGAGCGACATATCATTGTTCTCAGAATTGTGTGGACAAGCCAGAAGAGGCCATATCATCTCTTTTTGATCACATTCTGGTGGTCCCGGAACAGGTTTTAGAAGCCCTGGGGGAAGCGGCCAATTTTTCACTACAACAGAAACCGAGAGACATATCATTGTTCTCAGAATTTTGTGAGAAATTCAGAAAAGACCATATAATCTCTTCTGGATCACATTGGCCATCTGGAGGCCCCGGAATAGGTTTCAGAAGCCCTGGGGGAAGTGACTAATTTTTCACTATCAAGTGACATATCATTGTTCTCCGAATTTTGTGAGTATGGTTTTCACCTTACCACCACCATCACTTCTTCTTTTAAAAGAAAAACTACAAGGGGCGGCCCTATGAGGTTGTACGCAATGGTGACGTAGGACGACGTGATTCTATATAATAAATGTTATTTGTTCACTGCAGCTTGTATTTTGTGTAGGAATAGGAATTTGAGCAGGGTTCTCTCTGTTTATACTCTTTAATATGGCTATGCGTGCCCTGAAGAGAACCTTTTGATATGAATTTTAGTTGGGACATGTTCAGAAATTTAACTCTGATGACTGTGCATATGCATGTACGTAATGGGTGGATTTGTTAGTTATTTCAACGCTTTTGAACAATGCTTGACATTTACCACCTTTTGCAATAGTAACAGTGCAGTTGCGTAGAAATATTTCTGATCGTTTGGTGTTAAAATTATTGAAATTAGTCCAGGGGCAGCTGAGTTATTATCGTTCAAAATCTTTCATAATTTCGTTACGTGTTCCATTTCTTTTTTTCACAAAGTGTACCCCCATATAGAAATCACAGACGTAGTCCTACGTCAAAAGCTTTGTAGCTTGGATTTGGATTCATTCACTTTCAACTTGGGTTTGGATACAATTTAGATCTGGATTTTTCGATTGTTCAATTTGGAATTTTTTAATTATAATTCAATTAACTCGAAACCTATTTTGCTACTACAACTAACGTAATTCATTTTTGTCCTACATATTTTCAGTACTACAACAATCAATACGAAACTAACGATTTTAAATTGACTCACTACTTGACTAGCCTATTGGTCCCAAGCAAATCGATTACGTACCCCATTCTAGTCGAAATTCTAGTACTACACTATGTTTGTTTTGATTCGCTATGAAAGTTTGACAGATAAAATGAGGGGTTAGTGGATTTTCCTATGTTTCGAGGGGTGAATCGATTAGCTTGGGACCGAAGATAGTACCAGAGCTGAACCAAAAAGTTGAGCACGTTTCTTCGGGACCTACTAGTCTTAGAGTTACCTCTATGGTACTACCATAGAGGTAACTCTAAGACAAGAAGGTCCCGAAATAACGTGCTCAACATTTTGGCTCAGCTCTGGTACTCTCCTCGGTCCCAAGCTCCCAAGCGGTCACCCCTCGAAACATAGCAAAATCCACTAACCCCTAATTTTATCTGTCAAACTTTCATAGCGAATCAAAACAAACATTGCGTAGTACTAGAATTTCTACTAGAATGGGGTACGTTAATCGTTTGCTTGGGACCAATAGGCTAGTCAAGTAGTGAGCCAATTTAAAATCGTTAGTTTCGTATTGATTGTTGGTACTACTACGTTTGCGTAGCACTCATTTGCAATACTATAATGGTGGACTCAATGCGAAAATAAATTTTGGAACTGGATAAGATCAAACAGAGTTCTTTTCAGAATTATTCTAAAATAGAGATTCCAGATTCCATCTGGGACTCCCTTGAATTTTTTTATTATAGCCCAGAAATTTGCTTGATTTCTTCTTAAAATTTCCATGCAATACACCTCAGAATTGTTTCAAACTTTTGCTCAGAATTATCTTGACGTTCTCCTCTAAATTTTACTGAAGATTCACATGAAATTCTACTTAAACTTAACTAGAAATTATTTTTGAGATGCCCTTGAAATTATCCTCGGAATAAACATAAAATTCTTCTCACAATTCCATTGGAAATGTAATTTCAATTAAATTCCCTTGGAATTTTTCACGCATACTAGAATCCTCTTCATAACCACCATGAAATTTTCCCAGTGGCGTCACCCTAACCTCAATCTATCTGTTCAACAACTCTCAAAAAGTAAACAAATAAAAAGTCATTGCTGTAAATCGATACAAATTAGTGAATCTAGAAGATTCTATGCATTTTGTACAGGTAAAAAGTGAGGTTACGAGACGCCACTGATTTTCCACAGAGCTTATTTAAAAAACTACTCTGAACTCACTCAATGGCCTTCGAGTTCTAGTCAAAACTAGCTTAAAGTTCAGCCCAAAGCTCCCTAGGACTTCTTCTCTGAAATACTTAAGTGGTATCTCTAGAATTCATTCTAAAATCAGCTCAAACTTGTTTTGGAAAAATTCTAAAATTGTCTTAATAGTTCTTCGAAGTGACAGTATCCTAAAAATCTTGTCCAATCCAAGGGTCTTGAATTTTTTTCAACGTTCAAAATCTTACTTTTTTCGAGGAGCGCACTGAGTTTTTTTTTCGATTTGTAATCGAAATTCACAGTGACTTCGAATTCCAGGCTTTTTACGGTTTTCCCAATGTCCTGGTCCGCTGGTCACCACGAATTAAGGTACAAGACAAGGTAAAGCCCACGGGTTCGATTCCCGCTTTGAGACGAGAATCTTTTTGGGTTGTTAATTATTTTGCCTTCTCCGGGCATCAAGTATCATTGTGCAATTGTGCGTGCCGCTCAAAAACGAATCAAAGTACTCAACGAACACTAAGATAAGCGCAATCCGTCAAGTTGATGAATTAGATTACCAAAATAAATAAACTTCCGCTATGCCCCCCATTGACCTTACTGATCTAACGTAATATCAACATCTCCCCTCCCACCCCCGAACAGGTGCACCTGCCCCCGAGGATACAAGGGAAAACTCTGCCAGGAGATCCAATTCTGTGAGCTGCAAAAGTGTCCGCAGAATGCGACCTGCCAAAACTTGGACACCGGCTACGAGTGCATCTCCAACATGACCTTCCACGACGACAACGAACCGCTCAAGTTTGCCTTTAACGCGGGCGGCGATCAGCTGCCCTACACTTCCAAGGACAACAACATGGACACCATCGAGATCTCCTACAGGACAAAGTTCGGAGGAACGCTGCTGTACGTGCAGGAAAGTGATATGTACTTTGAAATATCGACGTTCAAAAAGTTGGTAACCATTTCTTGGAGGCTATCGGTTGACCTACCGGAGCAGTATCGGTTCGAGTACGACCAGGACGATAACTACGGATGGCACACCGTGTTCATTAAGGTTTCCTCGAATGGAAAACTGGAAGCCGGATGGAAGGGTTGGGAAGCGACACAGGATCCACAACCACCCATCTCGGTCAACATTGACTATTTGGCGTACAAACATCTATTCTCAGGAAAGCACTTTGTCTACTTGGGTGGAATGCCAGCATTGTCACACATCGAGAATAATTCAGTGGTGAATGGCGGAATCGATAAGGGTTCCATGTTTAAGGGATGTCTCGGTGAGACCAGGGTTGGTGGTTACTTACTGCCGTACTTCCCGCATGACGTCATCTATCCGGACACATTCCAATTTACTGGTCCGCATTTCAATCTGAACTCCAGTCAACCCGAAGAGGGATGTATCTTGTGTTTCCAGCAGTCCTGCAAGAATGGCGGCGTTTGCAGTAATCCATCGGAGCAATACGCTTGCGATTGCCCGGCCGGGTACGAGAGTGACGACTGTTCACAGAACATCGATGAATGTCTGACTGCCAACTGTACCAACAATTCGACCTGTATTGACGGAGTGGCCAGCTTCACGTGTCAGTGCCTGGAGGGATACGAAGGCGACCTGTGCCAGTTCGAAATCGACGAATGCATGTCCAATCCTTGCCACAATGGAGGATCCTGTACGGATCTGGTGGCTGGGTTCTCGTGCGAATGTACCGAGGAGTATGCCGGTCCACAGTGCGATGTGTTCCGGCTGGTGACCTGCGAGAATCTACCCTGCAGGAATGGGTCCATCTGTATTGATGGGTTTAGTAAGTGTTATGAAATATGTGCTTTTAGAGCTGAGAAGTAATGATGTTCTTACGTTGCAGATTCCACAACGGGTAACAATTTCACGTGTTCTTGTAAAACTGGGTTCTCTGGGTCGCTGTGCGATATTCCATTCTGTCAACTTGAGGAATGCCAGAATAGTGCTATTTGTATGACAAACGATGAAAATGTAAGTTAATTTGCGTAAAATAAAGGAATTGGATGGTAACTATTCTCCAACATGCAGGTTCCGGTGTGTCGCTGTGTTCCCGGCTACACGGGACGATTGTGCGAAATCGAAATCGACGAGTGCGAATCGATGCCGTGCTTCAACGGTGGTCAGTGTATCGATTTCATCAACGACTACAAATGCAACTGCACGGGGACAGGATTCGAAGGGAAGAACTGCGAGATCGACATTGACGAGTGCTACGAACTGAGGATCAACTGCGGTGGACGAGGGTCCTGCATCAATACACGGGGTTCATTCAAGTATGGGCTTTCTTGAGGTATATCCTATTAGGGAAAACTAACTGAAAAATTTAATTTGCAGATGCCAATGCGACGAGGGCATGTGCGGTAAAGAATGCGCCGAAGTAGATCCTTGCATACAGAATCCAAACCTATGCCAGAACGGTGGCGTTTGCATAGAAGACTGCGACAAGGAGCACCGGTATTACTGCAACTGTACGATCGGTTACACCGGTATCAACTGCTCCGAACAGGTAGGTCCCTTCGACTTGTCATAGTCCGTGTTCAGTGTCGTATCTCCATCGATCATGCTTGGTATACAACTCGCTTGACATTTTCGATGCATTTCAACAACTTCCTTTTCATGTCGTCGCCCGATTTCATTTCTCTTATAGGATGGCAGTACGGTTACAGAAATAACCTCCTATATGGATACGGTCTACTACTATGTCGATAAGATTGTGGGGAGTGTTCTATTCTTTTTATAATCCTCTACCACCAATGTACATATTGCACAAGTTTGATTTCGCTTCCGTTTGCATCTAACATCGTTTTAAGAGCTGTGGAACTAATATGCATGCGATTTGTAGACTAAAATTTAGCAATTCTTCGAGTACCCGTCCACTTCGTCAATGTTTGCAGTATTATGAGCTGAGATAGATATTTAACACTGAGTTGAGGGTAGGCACAAAGCTCCAATTGGGACTTAAGAACCACAGTGGCCAGTTTTTGTTATTATCATTATCTTTAATAACAGTCATAATACCGAACCTGCAAATGCGTGCTCTGAACAAGCTTGCTTCTCGGCAAGACAGTCTTTCGGTCGAGGCGTCGTCAACTTTGGAAAGCAACCGTTTCGTGATGAGTGTGTGAGTGCTGACCACGTTTTGCGTCCATTCCTGCAATGGAAGCTCTCTGCCCCTGTTGGCGATACTGCCATACAATGAAATTACTGGAAGCGGCTCCCGTTCTGATGGAGGGGGCATATTGGATAGCGGAAGATAAAGTGTTTATCGTATTGTATCTTTCGACTATAGTTTTAAGATGTATTGTATAGTGAACAATAATCCTTGGCTCTGTAAAGTTAATTCGATTGAGCCTTTTCAAATAAATTAATAAACAATAAATAACAAAACATGCAGGCTTCATTGCAACTGATTGAAACTCGAGAAGAATATCAATAAATTAAATAAATTCTGATGTTTTAAATATTTGTATGGGAATTGCGCTTCATAATTTCGACTGCCATTTTTCATATGGGAGATGCGATTATAGGCAGTGCAGTCATCTGATGGTTTTATTTATCAAGAAATTTTGACTGTTGAACTAACGGATCTGTTTCATTGAAAATAGCTTTGTTTATATTTGCATCCTGCATCGGCAACACCTGATCACTCACACACTCACAGATTTCAGCTGTCAGGTCAACTGCAAAACGTCCAATGGATCACCTTATTATGACAGTTAACGAGATTTTCAATCGTCACACACAGTGGGCGAATCCCAAGCAAAACCAGGACAACATTCTGGAGTACCTTGAAAATGACCAACAAGGGCTTCTTTCGATCAATTTCAAGACTAAGAACCAGTTTTAGCCAGGCTTGCTGAAACTCCTCAAACTCATTGGAGGTTTTAAAACACTCTTGTCCTGCGAGTTTAGCCAGCCCTCACCTCGAGTGAGTGGCGGCGGGAATATGGAAGAAGTAAACAAAAACTCCTCTAGAGAGAGGGAGAGTGAACTTCAGTGAGAGGATGATTTGACGTGAGGTGCGCTTTTCGCGACTCCGGATGACTATTTTGTTTGACGCAAGAAGCTCAATGTTCACCCAGAGTGAGAGTAAGAGCGTGTGATAGAAAACATGAACATGAATGGCAGAAAACCTCACTCTCATTTTATCCCCCTTCGCTCACAAGCACTGAAGCTCAGTGGAATGATTTGGCAGCAGACATTCTACTCCTCAGAAAAATGCTACGCTCGGCTCATTTCAAACTCGCGAGTGAGGCTCCATCAAGCCTGGCAAAATCTGTTTCTAGTGTAAAATTCATCCTTCGATATTTGTATTGTCATAATGTGTTTAAAAACCTAGCTACAGCTATTCAAGACCTAATATGACGCCACGCTTGTTTTGGCATCAAATCGGTTTGTGCTGTTTAGCAGACTTAATATCAAAAAACATATTTTTTGGCTAACATTCAAAAGTTTCCGAAAGAAAGGGCTGTGATTTTTGAAAAGCTGATAACATTTTCGGAGAATACTTAGAGAGTGAAGATGAAAGGAGAATTAGAATTACATCGAAGAATGACTCCAGGAGATCTTCAAAGGAATTCGGAAAATAATTCCAGGATAGTTTTCCTAACAAATTATGAGGAGAAATTCAAGGAATTTGTTAGAGGAAATGCAAATGGATTCTTAGGAGATTTTCCATGTGAGTAGAATTCCTAGGGAAGGAAATCTGAAAGGAATTCAATAAAAAATATGAGATTCTTTCCAAAAGTTTTCTTACTGAGGATAGTTTCAAGGAAATTCCGAGGAAAATTCAAATAAAATTGAATTCGGAGGATATTTCTAACGATATTTTTTAGAGAATTCAGAAAAGTGTTATAAGTGAACTTCTAGAATGATTCCATGAGAATTTCGGGAGGATACAAAGCGAATGTCTGAGGAGAATTCCAAGTGAATTTTCATGAGAAGTATCCGTTGAATATGGAATGGACTATTCTGACGTCTTCAGAACTACATTTCTTAAAATTTTCCTGAAGTTAATTAAACTGCCTTGAAGGTCCTTTGTTGCTTGAAAAACTATCCTGATGCCTACAATACTTTTCATCAAATTTGTAAACTTCCTTGAACCCTTTCGGATTTCCTAAAGTTTCCTCAGTTATCCTAACGATCATAGATCTTCTCTAAAGTTTTAACAATTCCCTGAAGTTCTCAAAACTTCTTTAAAAATTATGTAATTTATCTAGCTGCTCTGAGGTTCTTTGTTCTTTCCCAAAGTTCTCGAAACTTTGCAACGTATTTGCAGTTCTCATGAAGCTTGTTTTACTACCCTGAATTAAATTAAATTTTAAACTATAACCATTTTCTTGACATCTCTAAAGTTTAAAAATGTTCTTAACATCTTACTTACTTAGATACTTCAATCTGGTAACTTCTTAAAATTTCCCGCTAATTTTCTGGAACTAATTCAACTGAAATCACTATTTTTAGAGCTTCTTTGAAATGAGCCCGCATTTTACTAATGTTCATGAATGTTCCTGAAATTCGCAGATCATCCCTTAAGATCCATAGACTTCTATGAATTTCTCGAAATGTGTCTGAAAATCTCTCCACTTTTGTGCAGTTGCAGTTTTCATAGTTTTTTTTTTCTGAAATTTCTGGAACTTCTTCAAGCTCCCGCCATTTTCTTGGGATCAAAACGAAATAATTAATATAGTTCTATGATTTTCATTGAAGCTGTTAGAAGTGTTCATGAAACTGCCCTTAAATTATCGACACTAATTCATAACTTCATTCATTCATAACATAACAATAGTAGTCTAGAGTTTCCTGATGTTATTAAAACTGCTCACTAGATCTCTGAATTTTCTTAAAATGTTCTAGACTGACCCTTTCTCAGTATTTTCTATAAGAACCCGAAATGTTACTGAAATTAATTGAATTGCCTTGAAGTTTTCGCAATTTTCCTTAAGTTTAATAAACTTTACAAACTCTCACGAAACTATGTCCTAAATCACTAATTATCCCTAAAAATATCAGGACATCCCTGAAGTTGTCTATCCCAAGTAATATTTCAAGTTTTATTGTGGTTTTAAAGTATTTTTCAAGTCTAAATCATGGTCTAGAGAACCCTAATAAAATCAAAATTGTTACTTGGGTATGCCTACCTGAAGGTCTCTAAATTTGTTTAATGTTGCGGGAAATTTTCTGATATATATATATTCATAATTCGCTGACGCTGCTGAAGTTTTCGGATCAATCATAAAATATCCGGAATATCCCACAATTCCACGGAACCAGTGTTGGCAAAATCATCAATCAAATCACATTTATCCGCTTTCGTGATACACGGTGATATTGACAATTCTGCTTTGGTCACTCATTTAAGCTACCATTCATCGTCAGGGCAAACCATGTCAATTGTCAATGACAATGCTGTCAGTGCCGAACATGTGTACATTTTTGTATTAACTAAATTTGTAATGAAATGGAATAACTTGAGCAACACAATTACATGGAGCCGTTAAAGTGAACTGTTTGGATAACAATAATGTGACACAGAATGCACGAAATTACACTTGTCATTAACGAAAAAAACTGAATGAGATTTTGACGAAGGTTTTTTTGAGTGACTACTTGAAAAAACAATTTTTTCAATATCACGCGGAAGTCTGTCAATGACAATGATAAATCTCACCACTGCTCAATATCACGCGTGATATTGGATCAAAATATCATGCTTGATATTGATCTTACAAGCTTCTTTGATATTGCGAGACTTTTCACAACACGTAAAAATGAAGCTGAGAGTGCACATCGTTTCCTTAGAAAGAGAAAGTATAGTTTACTAGCTCTCTTTACTCTTCACCGATGATACTTAGACACGAAGCTACTGCTGCCAACAGTGATGGTAGTTTCTGGTCGCGTTCGAATGTAAAGCAAAAATCATGAAACTCAAACTCACCACGGTTTGGTTAGAATTATAGCTGGTGAGTTTGGTTAGCTTGATATTCGTAGCTACGAATATCACAGTTTGTAACATCATCCGCAGTTGCTTGCTTGTTGATTTTTGTCTGCGAAAATGATGTTGGGCATTGGTGAGATTTGATTTTTTGATATTTTCCCAACACTGCACGAAGCCCTTGAAGTCGCTGCAAATTTCCTTAAGTTAATGGGATTGCTCTGAAGTTATCTGATCATCCTCGAAGTACTCGGAACTTCGCTGAGTAACATGAAACTATCTAAAAATATCAAAATTTCTTAGAAGTTCTCAGGAATTTCTTGAACAAATCGGTGCTTGCTAAAAATTCTCGCGTTTTTTTATTATTAAAATAAAACTTCGGTGATATTCTCCAATCAACTTTCAACTCTAAATTTTAACAATTTTTTGAAGTTTTTGAAATTTCCATGATATAACACCCTTAAAATATTATCACATTTCCCGGATGTTCGTATACTGGCAATTGCGTTCCAGATATTCTTTCGGAGCTTTCCGGAGGTTTCCGGAAATTCCCTGAGTTCTCTAAATTTCTTTAAGGTTTCTGCAACTTCCTTGAAATTATTGGAACTGCCCTTTGATTATCTGATCTGTCCTGATGTTCTCGGAGCTTCCATGAAACTCTCAAGACTATTGAAGATCTCGGTTCTGCTTTGAAATAAACGGAATTCTCGTAAATACCTTTAAACTTTCCTGAAATTCTCTGGACTTATGTGAAGTTTCTGAAGTATTTCGGAAGTTTTCATAAATTT